ACAAAAAATAAACCCCGATAAAAGCCGAATTAAAACCAAATATTACCAGCTGTGTTTCCAATTAAAATACTTTTAAAATTATCCCTACCTAAAATCCTCCCTAGGTCAGGCCCGCTTGCTGGAAAAACCATGTCTTGAGGGCGCGGCGGAAAGTAAGGAGATCCGGAATCATCCGGATCTCGGGGGGTAGTTCATTCCAAAGGGTGGGGGCACCCACAGAGAAGGCCCTCCCCCTGGGGGTCGCCAGCCTACATTGCTTGGCCGACGGCACCCTGAGGAGGCCCGCTCTGTGGGAGCGTACCGGTCTATGGGAGAAGCATCTTTGGTGCCCCCTGTGCTTGGGTGTTCTCTTACAGACATTTCATTACCAAACTAGGTAACATCATCAGTGCTAGTAGGGAGTGAGGTTTCATATTGGCCCAATTTCCCGATTCATATGGCTTGGGGAATTCTAGGAGTTGAAGTCCACCCATCTTCAAGTTCCCAAGATTGAGAAACACTGCCCCAAGGGATTCAGTGGTGGGATTGTGGCAGCCATTTTATCTTTATGGACTTCCTCAGCCAGACACCCTTTCTCTCTTCTTAGCGCTCACCATACAGCCTGCCGGAGTTCCAGAAAGAAGTCCCCGATGAAGACATTCAAGACTTTTCAGAAGAAGAACAATCCATCTTAGCAGCTTCTTCTTCATCCTCCTCCTCCTCGCTTGCACCAGCTTTGCCAAGAAAGTTGCCAAGTGATGCTAGTCTCCATCTGCCTTCTCCAGGAGATGTCCCAAAGCTAGCATCTTTCTTAGGACTGCTGGTAAGTCAAATATCTACACAATCAACCGTGAAAATGCAACTTTTGCCTGCTTCTCTTTGTTATCGGGGTCCAAACAAGGTTAAGTTAGCAAGGTCCAGAAGCTGCTCCTTCTTGGTTAAAGTGCCATGAATTTGTTAGTTTGATTTTTGTGTGTATTCAAAGGCAGGTTTAATTCCTTCCACCGAGAGCTTTGTAAGTCCTCCACAGTGTATTCTAGACATTGCTAAAGTCAGCCGGTGGCTCTTTCAGAAATCTTTTTGTTACCTGGGCCTGGGTTTAACCCAAAAGGTGCCAAGGATGGCTTCCAGAGACTTGCAGAGGTGTTTTCAAAATGGAAATGTTTTCTGTGGCTGGAAAGCAACAGGAGTCAGCACCTAATCAGAAAATCATTGTGTGATTTATTTATTTTTTCTTAGGTGGAACAAAAGCTGAGAAACAGACCGGTGCTTTAATGAGTAGTAGACAAATTCTCTGCTTAAGGATAGGCTGGAGAAGTTCTGAAGGATTCACACTCTTTATATTTTATATATTATATATATATTATTTTATTTTATTATTTTATTTTATTATTTATTTTATTATTTTATTCCCTTGAATTTTAAGTTCACTTGATGGTTTTCATTCTGAGGCTGAGATCTGCATCCGAAATAGAATGTTGCTGTCAACGCTGCAAATACTGTATATTCTTGCTTTGACAATATGCAGAACTGTCTGGTATTTTTATAGTTAAATCAGGCAACAGTGAAAGGGGAGGAGAATAAGGAAAGCCTGGGGGAAAAGAAACCGGAAGTAAATCACATCTTCCAAGTTAATTGGAAGGTGTGAACCATGACCCCAAAATAGGGGAGGGAAAAATGCCTGGAATGTATGTGCAACGGAAAAGGATCTCAGATCTAAGCATTTCCACCATGCCGTACTGACATCTCTGTAACCTTAATAAATGCTTTTAGGATAAATATATGCCTGAAAGTCCTTTTAAGTGTTTCGTTAATCAGACACATGACAGTTGCTTGAACTGGATTCATGGTTAATAACATCAAATTAGAGCCAAGAGATGAATAATGTCAGGCTTTAATGTAGTCTAATTCTTGTCCAAAAATATAGTTCCACCAAAATCTTCTTTGCTTTGACATCTTCTAGATGAGATGGCTACAAAACATTCCACTGGCTCTAAATGTGTTAAAATTTACAGACATCCATATTTAAATATTTGTCATTATTTTAATGGTAATTGTAATGTTTATAACCGCTCAAAGTCCTAAACAGCAAGTATGGATATAATCAAGAGGTTTAGCTAATAATAATAATAATAATAATAATAATAATAATAATAATAATAATAACAACAACAACAACAACAACAACAACAATATAATAATAATAACAATAACAATAACAATAACAATAATAATGATAACAACAACAACAATATAATAATAATAATAATAATAATAATAATAATAATAATAATAATAATAATAATAATAATAATAATAATAATAATAGAGTTTGGCAGATAAAACAAGCCAATAGACCTTGTAGAAAACAATTAAAAACTCAAAATGTATTCATTTATTAGTGAAGGCCTTGCTTTTATAGCCATAGTTTAAAACTGTCTGTTACTGCTATAATTTTGGGATTTTTAATCTAAATATTTACATATTCAAAGTTATTAGCCTCTATTTTGATGTTTGCTCT